CCCCCCCCCCCCCCCCCCTCTGAAACGTGGCCTGTTGCGTCATTCCAGAGCCGGGGATATCTGTGTGTGAGAGCGATGAGCGGCTCGCCAGCCAGGAGGCCCTCACTCATGCCGTCTCGCGTGTGGCCTTCTCTGTCGGTCAGCCACCCACCGCCCCCAGCCCACCAACCCACACGCACATGCCTTATCGCTGCTGTGCTGTGTTGTGTTGTGTCTTGTGTTCAGGGAGTGGCTTCTGCCTGCCTGACGTGGAGAGCTGGGCCGAGCGGCATGTGACGAGCCTCATGCACATCGACCCAAACACACACCCACGGTGTGTAGCAGCCTCCATCCATCCATCCATCCATCGTGCAGAGGTCCTGTGTGTGTGTGTGTGTCTGTGTGTGTGTGTCTGTGTGTGTGTCGGGGTGTCAGTGTGGCTGTGCTGCAGTACCGCACCATCCACCTCGTGAGCAACATGCGCGCCTCCCTCCCGCCAGCCGTCCTCTCGCGAGTCGTGCAGTGCCTGCCCAACATCTGTGGTGGTGGATATGGACGTGGGGGGGATGCTGCCCGTGCCACGGGCGTCGGGCCCCCTAACAAGAGCAACAAGGCCCGACCCCTGTGGCTGCTGCCTTTCGCCGCTGTGCTGGAGTTCCTGTGCACTTGTGAGTGAGTGGAGGGCTCGGTGGCTGGTCTGGGTGCCACGCGTGCGTGTGTGTATGTGTGTGTGTGTTTGATCAGATCTGGCAGAGTTCAGAGGGGATGTGTATTCGCTGGCTCCTGTCCACGTGTGGGTGGCACTGCTGCGTGTAATCAATGCAGGTGGGGAAGCGGTACCCATGGCAAAATGGCTGTCAATCGATCTGCGTCCATGTGTGTTGTGTGTGCGGCAGGGGTGCCCCATTTCCGCTCCCCCATGCTGCTCAGCCGGTCTGTCGCTGCGCTGCAATACATCCTCAGAATCCCACAACTGGTACACAGCACACAACACACACAACACCTTACACGTCTCCCTCTCTCCCTCTCCGTGTCAGCTCCATCTGTTCCTAACCGATCCGTCCAGCAGGTCCGCCGTCGAGTGGGTCACAAACCGGGTGGTACAGGCCATCCACCAGCAGCATCAGCAGGACGACCCTGGTGCGTCCATCTCCACCGCCAATGTGGATCGGCAGGGCAGCTGTGGGAGCCTCAGCAGCGAGCCGGGTGGGGGCTTCGACCACCCGTCGATTGCCACGGCTCTGATGGACCTGCTGACAAACACCGTGCAGTGCGGCAGCGCCATGGCGGCTGTCACGCTCTCGCCTGTGGTCACTCAGCTGCTTGCGGCTGCGCTGAATGGTGAGTCGGTGGAGGGGTGGGTGGCGAGGGTGTGTCGGCACCGTGTTCTGCGGCTGTGTGTGGTATCTTCTTAAGGGTCTTCTGCGCACTCGCTGTGCAACGAGAGCTTTGCACTGTGGGAGACGGCGTTGCGGGCGATGCCTGACATTGCAGAGGGGCACCAGCAGGACGGCAGGTGGCTGCAGCTCATCTGGTGCACGGGCCCCTTGTGCGCCGGGTACGTCGTCTGTGTGTGAACGTGTTGGTTGTACCGACCCTTTGTGTGTCTCTCTCTCTGTCTGTCTGTCTGTCTGTCTGTGTGGGTGTCTGTGGTGTGTGTGTGCAGGGGCATGAGCCACTTGGTGGGAGTGATGCGTGTGCTGGAAGTGACGGTGGCCCGCTGGGGAACACACATGCCTCAGGTACGCGTGCGTCTATGTGGGAGGGACGGAGGGAGGGAGGGAAGGAGCTGCAGCGAGTACATGGCAAACAAGAGATCTCTTCGCCTGTCTGTGTGTGTCTGCGTGTGTGTGTCAGCCTGAGAGGGACTTCACCTGTGGTCTGGTGGGGACGCTGGCGCCACACGTCAACGAGCGGGCCGCACTCAGGCTGACACGGCTCATTTTGCAGGTAGGTAGCGCATCGGTGTCAGTCAGTCAGGCTCAGGTAGGTGTATGTCGTGTCAGTGTTGTGGTCATTGATTACCACAGGTGTGTCTGTGTTGGGGTGTGGATGACCTGACGCGGCCCCTCTCCGCCCTGCAGCACATTTGCACCTCGCAAAACGGGTAGGCATATCGTATCACCCACACACACGGCTGACGACACCCATGGTGTGATGCTTGGTCAGGTGGCGGGCTGCCGTCGAGCGTGCGGCCCCGACAGAGGACGACGAACCAGACGACATCGACGAGGGCGAGCACGTACGTGTCTGTGTCTGTCGGCGTCGATGTGTGTGTACGCCACGCCCATCCTGTTCATTTCCTGCCATTTGTGTGTGTCTGTGATACATATTGCAGGAGCATGCCATCCTTGCTGCGTCATGCGAGAGGGAGGAGGGTGGCAGCGGTGCCAAGACCATTGGTGGGGCGGTGTGCGTAATTACTGCAAGGGCCGTGCTCATGACACACACCGTAAGTAAATGAGTGTCGTGCGGGCCCTTGTGAAAAGTGCTCATGTCTCACACTTGTGTCTGTCTGTCTGTCTGTCTGTAGAGCGGGTCTTCTTCGGTCGGCATGTCGTTCATCCAAGCGGCTTTTGGCAGCAGTGACGGCTTCATCGCCGCCGCCCTGTCGGCCCTCCGCTACGGCCACATCACACACCCATACTTTGCCGCCCTCACCCTTGCTGCAGCACACACGTACGCACACCCATGTCCTCACACATAGATCCCCCCCCCCCCAAACACACACACACGTGTGTTCTGCGTATGTGTCCAGGCTGTCACCCTCTCCCCCCTCTCCAGCACTCACAGAGATGGCGCGACAGCTGGAGGCCCGACTACTGCAGAGCACTATACGAGCTGCTGATGCGGTTTGGGTGAGCAGCCTGCCTCTCCCGGTGGTGCCGCGGGCGGCTGAGGCTCAGGGCGGCGGCTGTGTAGTGCCGCTGGGGGCCAACCCGGGACATGTGCCCACGGGCAGCCAGACAGAATGGCCCGACACCTCCCGGCGGAAAAGGGTAGGAAACGACCGACCAGGTGTGATTGTGTCTTTCGTGTGTGAGTGATGTGTGATGGATTGGCGAAACAGGCACTGTGTGACGAGAGGCAGCGGGTGGCTCGAGTGCTGACAACTGTTTGCTACCCGACCGACCGGCCGACCTAGTGCTAGATGAGATCGATGCACGTGTGACGCGCATGACAGATCCGGACGTGTGCGTGTTGGGTGTGTGTACTGTACAGCCCCAAGGCGTTGGGTGCATTGCATGTGTGTGCATTAGGTTGACATTGAAGGAAAGGCGAGAGACAATCAAAGTCACCGATGGACGGACGTGTCATCAAAGAGCCCTCCCTGACCACCTTGACAAGGGGCGGGGCGGGTGACATAGAAGAGCGAGCAAAATGAACATGCGTTGGTCCGTCCACATAGAAGATGAGAGCCCTGACCGATCCGATCCACAGCAAACCGCCGCCCACCCGGCCCACCATACACACGCACCAGACCCCCAACACAAACAAGACGCAGGCAGGCAGGCAGGCAAGAGGTTAGCGGCCTTGCCATGGGTGCATGTGAGTCTCCACTGTCCGCGGTGGGTTCAGCTCGACCGTCTCGGTCATCAGCTTGGTCTCAAAGGCAGGCCCACCAGAACCCACGCTCAGCCGATCTGAGCCGTGGGTGTACTTGCTGCTGGAATGCAGCTGCGTCTCGAAGCCCAGCAGACCCAACGACACCTACAGACAGAGACAGACACGGACGCTTGTGTGTCTGTGTTTCTGGCCATTCCATCATGTGCATGCATACCGTTCTGTCGTTCATTGCGAGTACATGGGCCCTCTCTGAGATGTCGCCCTCCCAATCAGAGTCCCTCCTCCCCTGTCTGTAAGTGTCGCCCGCGTGTGGGCCGCCGTGGTCCGCATTGCTGGCAGAGTCCCCCTCATCTTCATCGAGCAAACAGGACGAGAACGCAGAGCTTCGCCGCTGGCCACCATCGCTGATGTCGTGTGGCGATGGGCCCATGTCGCTCATGCGTGGCTGGGGCGGTGGGCGGGGGCTGAGAGAATTGTCGCTTCCCTCTCCCTCTCCCTTTTGTTCGTCCACCGGTGGTGGTGATCCGTGGAGGTCATCCACGTCGGTGTTGATGGACACCCGCGACGCTCGCCCTCTGCTGCCTTTGCGGTTGCCGCCCTTGCTGCTGTGTTTCCGCCTTTCCCTCTCGTGGTAGGGAACGATCTCATCCGGTGTCATAATGGACACGCCGGACGGGCGCATGCCGCTCTCGACCTGAATGTGCTGGTGAACCTCTGTGTGGTCCGTCCTGGCCGACACGACAGACCCGCCGATGCGCGCCGAGTGGCCGCCGCTGCTGGCGTCGATGATGGTGTGCTGCACACTCGATTTCGTGTGTGGAGAAGTCATGAGTGACAGCCACTTGGAGTTGATAAAAAAGCCTGGGAGGCCCTTGGCGGACTGGTGGGCGCCGCGGGAGCCCATCATCCACACAAACGGCACGATCAAGAGCAAATCGATGAACAGCAATATGCCTGAGTGAGAGGGTGACGTGGGATGATGCATGTGTCTCTCTCCTTTTGGTCTGGTCATATACCTGCTGCGTGGCGTGCGACGCGAGAATTGATATCATCAGGCTGAGCGGTCCAAATCAGTCGGCCAGGAGACACAGAACATGTGTGTCTTTCTCTCCCTTCTGCCCTTTCAGGTTTGCTTCCTGACCAGGTCAAAGGTATAGAAGAGTCCGATCAGCGTGACGATGTGCATCAGCAGCACCTGCACACACAGACAAGGTGATTGTATCTCGTGTGCTTCTCGGCGTTCTCCCCTACAGTGAGTGCGATGTCCAGTTTGCTATTGGCGGTGCGTCGCCACGGCGAAAAAGTCATCGATGCGAAGGCATAGAACGTCAAGATGACACCGTAATAGAGCAACTGCAGCTGCAAACAACAGAGCCATTCATGCTACCCAGTGCCGATTTCGTGGGTCGACCACCTGTCCGATGTTGGGTACGATCACAGTCGACAGAGCCAGCGACATGTTGCGCGCCTGGGTGAGACAAATGAACAGACAGCCAGACAGACAGCGGTCCTACAGCAAGGATGTGTATGTGTGTGTGTGTCTCGCCCACCATCCAGATGCACTCCCACCAGACCATGCCGTGTCTGTACTTGCCGACCACATAGCGAAACGCACTCTTGAAGATCTGATCAAACTCTGCACACCAGACAGGGTTTGTGTGTGTGTATGTGAGTGAGTGTGTGTGCCTCCATTCAGCCGACGGACCATCGATTTCGCCGCCTTTGCTTTTCGTCTTTTCAATGATGTTTGACATCTTGAATGAGATGACGATGGACGCAACGTACGGACTCACGATGTACAGGAATATGGCTGCATGAGAAGAGCAGGCACACAGAAAGGAGAGACCTTGACGTGTGGCCAGTCAAGGTACCTCCGGCTGAGAGCCAAATCTGGTCTCGCCACTCCTGACCCCTCTTCTGCAATTCGATGCATCCACTCAGACGTGCCATGTGACTGTCTTTTGGCTGGCGACGTACCGATGTGAAGTCACAAATCACGTATGGGTGAGTTCGCACAGTCGAGTCGCCCGACGGATGCTGGCATTTCACACAAAATGATTGCGGCCGGTGAGCACATTTCGTGGTCTGTTGGCTCACTCTAAAGCAGTCGACGTGTGTGGTTGCGATCGATGTCAGGGCCACATACAGGAACGAGCTCACTTGGGCGGCCGTGGCCAGAATCTGATGTCAAGGACGATGTGCGATTCAACAGTTGGCGGTTGGCTTATCCTCACTCTGATGAGCCCCAGCCCGTGTGTGCCATCGATGAATTGTCTTCTGAACCACAGCAGCCAGGCCGTCCGCCTCCCCCCTCGGATGAGGCTTGGGTTCATGCAGTCGCACTTGTCGCCGTAACGCAGCAACGCCTGGAGACATGAACATGCATACTAACGTGGACTGCATGCAATGGATCAGTTGGTTAGTGATATTGCCTCGAATCCGAAGTGGACGATTGTGATCGCCACGACGAACAAGAAGGGGATGGACGACACCAGCATCAGCTGAGAGCCGAACGACTCGAGCCCCCAGCTACAACACGAATACAGAGACAACAAACACGCTCTTCTCTCCGTTGTGTTGCCCCAATCCCACGTCTCTCACCACGACAGACCCACAATGCTGGCATCAAGCATGAACAGCCTGCACGAGCAGACGAGAAAGGGCAAGAGAAAGAGAGGAGGATGGAAACCGTCAACCACGCCCCGCTCCCACGCACCCACCTTGGAATGCTGAGGAGCGTCAGCACCTGAATCTCCAGCTTGAGGTTGAAGCTGCTGATGATGCCGATGTGTTGTGCGAAGGACAGAACGATCAGAAACGCCTTGTCTGGGTCGTCCGCCCCCTTGTCGCTCTTGGCTGTCGTGGCGCTTTGGCTCGACTGATCCAAAGCTTGACTGGCTCGTCTCTTGGGGTCTTCATAGCTCGTCTTCGAGTAGAATAATCCCGCTACTGGAAGCATTACTGCAGGGAGGGGGAAAAGGGCAATGCCTGCGTGTGCCGGATTGCTTCTTTTACTGGGTCACCGATGAGTAAGATGGTCAGCAGGACGACAGGCGACCCTCTGAAAGTGCACTTGGTACAGTCACCATTTCTCGACTGCGTTCGTACAATGCAGAGACCATAATCGATCATCTATCTGCCTGTGTTATGGCGTCTCTCTTGGTGTGTACTTTGGAATATCCCTTCTTGCATCTGCCGCACACAAGGCCGGTTCGGTGCTTCTTGCAGCTGCGCGGCTCGCCACCGGGGCCTGTGGAACACACATGGCAGCGGCAAACATCATTCCCTCTCTACGGGTGTGCGTCTATGCGTACATGCCTCTCGAGGATTGCATTCATAGGTCACCCTGATATGCAATCACCGGCGTTTTGCAGGCCTCTGTATTCGTGTGTGATTGTTTGGCTTACGGGAAGTCGTTTCTGTCTCTTATGGTGTATCCCTCGATGTAGAAGCCTTCCATAGCCTACTCAAACACACAAAAGCAGACACACGCGCGCGCGGCAGGATGCATTCTTTGCGGTCAATGTTTGTTATCATGTTACCATCGGTTGCTCGAACCTTCCTGAGACACGTGTGCAAGAGAGCGTGACTTGCGGCGTACCGTCTGTCTCTCTTTGCTCGCGTGCCTGCGCACCTCTGCACTTATACAGTCGGGGGTTGCATCTCCTGCAGCTGCCTGGAGGAATGTCGGTCTGCGGCAAGTCCATGCTGTCCAACTCACGTCCGTCGAAGCCGTTCTCAAATATCCCTGCATCAATCAGCTCAATCAGCAGTATCAGTGCATCCATCTGACTCGGCCGCTGACCTGAGAAATAGTAGCCCTCCTTGCACACACATTGCTTGACGGATGTGCTTCCCAGGTTGTCGGTTGTCCTGCTCGTGCTACAGTTCTTGCACGTGGTCGCCCCCGTCTCGTTCTGGTAGTAGGCCCGCGGGCATCGCGAGCAAGATGTCGAGGCGGGCTCCGACGCATTCGTGCCGGCCGGGCAGATGACGCAGCCAAGGATCGAGTTGCCAGAGTTGGCATATCCTGGTAGACACATCTCGCATGACGTCTCGCCCTCAAGCAGCTGACCAAAACCTTGACACACCATGAGAGACACACAGAGAAATGACCGAAGGACGCATAATACGCCGGCTGCCCAACCTGCTGGACACAGTTGACAGCTGGTTGAGTTGGTCTGGTTGTTGAATGTGTTGGCTGAGCAGTTCCGGCACTCAAGACCTGCTCACACCGCAAAGCGCCTGTTTCGTTCGGCGGAGACCCGTGTCTCGGCGGAGACCCGTGTCTCGATCGCGGAGACCCGTGTCTCGATCCCTACCTGTGTTGAAGCTTCCCGGCGGGCATCCTCTCCGCGACTGGAAGGTAGGCATGGGGAGCACCACCAGTGTCTGTGCCAGCGTGGCTGGGCTGACGATCCTCCACTCGGAGCCTTGTATCTGGGCGGCAAGCGACGGCGTCGACACGGTATTGTCCGACAGGATGCGCATCTCAGACCCGCTGAACGTATTGAACACGCGCTGGTAGAAGCCCACACGCACATTATCCTGAGTGAGACGGGGAGGCTGACATAAATGAATGAGACACACGGACTATCGTCACGACACACCCGATTGGTTTGCATGTCGTCGCTCCAGAATGAGAGCTTGGAGACGATCGTCGCAATGAAATGCACTACACGCAAACGATCAAATCGATACGGCTACCCCCTTTTTCCTCTCTTCGCGCACTGGATTCATTGCATGCTCGCTCACGTGGTCGGATGGCTTGGTCGTCCCTCTGGCTGAGTGTGCGACCCTCTGGGTTCCAGAAGCTGATGCGGAAGTCCTCGATAACGTCCCGGGTGTACACCTGCAGCAGGTCGTCAAACAGCTGGATGCGCGGGTCGAACTCCCGGATGTCGAGCAAAAAGTTGGTGTCGAAACCGGGACCGTCGCTGAACCAGTCCGTCTCCAGACTCGCCTCCATCCATATCCACGCCTGCAAGACAGGCAAACCAGCCACACACATCGCTTGAATCGACGTAATACATCCATCCATCCATCCGTACACATGTCTCTTTCCTCCATACCTTGACGTTGACCTCTCTTTCTGCAACCAGGCGGACGAAGGTCTTGTAGTCCTCATTGTCGTTTGCCAGGTCGGTGCCCTCTATCGAGACGAACAAGACCTCTGCATTCGACTGCATAATGGCGCTGATGAGGTCCTCGGCAAGACGGTTTCCCGTGCCGGCTGAATAGTCCTTGAGCGTCTGTATGTTCAGCGGGTCGGCAAACATGACTTCGTTAGTGATGAACCCCTGGTCGAGCGCCGGCTGCACGTCTGCCCGCGTCTGGTTGCCGAAATACGTGATGGACGTCTGCGTGATGTTCCGATAGTCATAAACCACCTGAAGGCCATCCTCCTGCAGCTGCTCTATCAATGGCGCCGTGTAGGCCGACGGGCCGAGATTATCGAGCGGATCGTGTGTGACCATCGCCACCCTTGTGATGCCTCTGTTGATGAACATCTTTGTGAACACCTGAAATCGACTGGGGACGGCGAGGTTCTTCTCCAGCTGTAGGGCCCCCGGTGGCTGGTCGGCATAATCGGGGCTGCTCCAGCCAGTGATGCGCAGGAAGCCCTGCTTCTCCGGGTCACGAAAAGGCTCAAAGAATCTCGGTGGAATGCCAAAGTAGATCATAGCCAGATAAGTGTCGTTGGTCAAGGCGGTCAGCCATTCGGGCGGCAGATAGTCCCATTGGATGATGTCGACATCAAACATGTCGATGTTAAGCTCGACCGTCTGGTTGCCGAGCATCAGAGTGGTCCACTTGCCGTTGTTGATGCCGTCGAGGAAATACTCCATCGGCGCCCAAATGTTATTGTAGGTCCATTGAGTGGACCCCGGACCCCACAGCAGTGTGGGAAAGAAGTTGGGAGAGCCTGCAAACCAAAAGTGACACATTGAGATTTGAGAGAGTGCCTTCTTGTGATCGTGACTCACCCCAGTTGCCGGGGAACATCACCGCCAGCTTGATGGTGATGTCGGCAGCCTCTACTCGATGAGTAGTGAACAGTGTGGCATGAATGAGGGCAGCTATGACGACGAGGCGCAGCGGCGCCCGACAAATAGGCACACCAGCATTGCGGCTGGCAAGGGCAGAACGGGGGAGGCGGTTCATGGCCGATGTTCTCTCAAGTGTGCAGCCGTCCTGGCAGTACCGAGCCCTCGCACTCAGCTGCCGTCCAAAAGGCCTTGCAAGGCTCCTCCACTGTGCATTCGCAGATTCCAACGGCAAATGGAGGGTTTAGCCGCGTCGGAAAGGCGAGGCGCAGATGGCGTATTTGAGATCCTCGGCTTTCGACAGCGTTGAAGACTGGCTCGGCAGCGCGTTTCAGCCCGGCAGCACTGAGTACGCACATACGAAAAGATGCTGCACACATATAACGCAACAGACAGCCTGCACGTTGTGGCGCTGCGTTTGTGCGGCAGAGAGATCAGTCCGGAGGAAGAGCATGAAGCTGCTGTTGATCTGTCGAGGCGCCGCAAGGGCATCAAGTATTTCACTGCAGCACGGCACACAGACCGTCCATCAACCTCCTTCTATTCGCGAAGCTTCCCAATGTACAGCCCTGATGCGCTTGAAGGCTACTATCAGGAAGTTTTCTCTGGTGCGCACACCCACTCAACACGCAGGCAGCACATGACTGACACAGCCGATGTTCTGCACTGCCATGGTTCCATCAGATGTGTTGCGGCTAGCGGGTGACAAGGTGGATGCCCGCACGCGGCACAAGATGCCCTTCGACGGCGGAGTGCTCTATTTCTCCGCCGACTCGCGCGCAAACCTGTTCGGCCTGTTCGCCTCTGAGGATGTGCCGACCACTGTCGCCTTCAGGTGCCTGTGGCAGGCCATGGATGTATTTGACGACCTGTCTGTGGACACGGCCCTCGACACGATCGACGCCACGCTCCGCTTCGACCACGACTTTATGCGGGACGCATTTGGCGTGGCGCCACTCATGGATGAGATTTGGCAGAGGTGGGTCGGTGGGTGGGTGGGTGGATGGCACTCGTGCAATGGACCTGCTTCCGACCATCTGTCTGTCTGTTTGTTGTGCGTGCAGGTGGGCGAGAGTGGGCGACGGCCAGGCCTTCCAGGCGAGCGACTTCGACTACAGCCGCCGCTTTCCACCGACCTGTGCAGAGGATGACTTGGATGAGAACTCACCCGTGAGCATGGAGGCGCACTCGCCCCTCTCCAGGAAACGCGCCAGGCAGCCGTCCATGGACCCCAGCGAGCAACCGCACGCCGGGGCCTCTCCACGGCCGTCTTCAGCCCATGCCGATGGGGACTCATTTAGTGGTGAGGGTGACGCAGGGCGGGAGAGCTGGTCCCCTGAGAAAGGGGTGGTCCAGGCGACTGCTGGTGAGGAGCGGCGGATGAGCAGCCCTGAGAGCAGCCCCGTCAAGCGCATGTCGGTACCTGACTGACCGATGAATTAATGATGAATCGGGATGAGCTGGGGAATGGATGGGGAAGCGACGACGATTCCCGAACTATACGTGGTTGGTGTGTGGATGGATGGATGGATGGGCTGTGCATATATGTGTGTGTGTATACTGGTTGACTTGTCGCTGGCTAACTTCAATCCTCGCGGTGTATCTTAGTTACGAGACCACAACACACACAGACCACAAGACTAGGCAATGAATGGATCATGACGACGATCACGATCCATTCATGCACAAAATCTTCTGTGTGTGGGTGGTGTGGTCTCTCTTGGCAGTAGCCAATCCTTCTTGCTTCATCATACGGTCGAAAAATCGATGGACCCACACCCCTGTACACCTATCTATTTATTCGTCGGCAGCCCACAGATCCTTTCCTCATTCACTCATGCAGTGAACAGCGCATCGACAACAGCCTTCTCCCTCTGCACCACAGACATCCGCTCCGCTCGCTCACGGGACATCCCTCTCGACACCAACTCGGCCTGCACACCCAAACCAGACAGACATTCCCACCACACACACATCGGGCGACCGACAGCGTCTGTAGGGTATACATCTTTCACAGTTAGTTCACTCACCGTCAGGAATTCTGGGTAGCCTTGGTTTTTCTCGACGAACCGCCTTCGTGTCGACTTGAGGATGATAGACAGCTGCTCCACCTGCAGCCCTGACGGCGTCTCGCTGTGCCAGTAGGCAACTCGGGCGAGAGACGTCATCGGCACACTCAGCAGCCGTGGATCCCGCAGCAGCCGCGCACACAGCGACTCCGGATCTTCAACCATCGACTCGAGCAATCGGCACCTCTCCACCATCCCATCCGTCAGCAGCACCTGCGGCGCGTGCAGCACCATGCTCGACACCTGGCCCTTGGGAGGCCGCTCCCCGCCGTTGAGGCGCGTCAGCTCCTCCACCAGCCCCTCCAGCCGCCTTCGCACGTCCCTCTCGACACTGGCGTGCAGCAGCTTGGGGCACTCGGCGATGACGCGGGGCACGTTGACGCCCGGCAGGAGGCGGCGAAGCTGCTCCATTCGCCGAGTGAGGGTGTCGGCATCTTCCAGCAAGAGCTTCGGGTTCTCTGCCATGACCTTGGCCGCATCGATGCCCGGCAGCAGATCACGCAACTTAATCGCTCTGACACACAGAGCCAGGGTTGTGTTGGCGTGATGTGATACATGTGTCGGGTCTCTCTTCGTCTTCATGCCATGTACCTGAGGTCGCCGCCGACGAGGAGGGTGCGGATGCGCTTCTCGGCGCTGAGGAGGTCGTGCATGAAGATGTCGATCTCTGAGGCCTTCATGCCCTGCCCGTCCATCCGCTTCATCACCCTGTTGCGGTCGATGTGCGTCTTCGCGTACACCGACTCCAGCTCACGCACAGATACAGACACAGACGAACCAGCCTTGTGGCGAGGCATCGACACGCCCGCCAGCTGCCGCTGCAGAAACGACGCGTACTGCGGGTGTCGTTGGGCGAACTTGTCACAGCTCATCTTGATGGCCGAGAAGGTCTCGCCGACGTCGAGCTTGCGCGTCCTGGGTGGTCGCTGTTTGTTGAGGTGGTCGAGCCTTGCGACCGACGCCACGCCGTAGGTGAGGATGCTCGGCTGCTCCAGCAGGCGGGCGTCGAGAGCCGCGGGGTCGTTGACATTTCTCCGCCAGCCGTCGACCTTGGCTGCGAGCGTCCCTTTGATGTCCATTTCCAGCAGCCTGGGCTCCTTGACCACCAGGGCGGACACATCGGCCGATGGGAATACCCGTGGGATCTGCTCGAGCTTCTCTGCGATGGTGCCATCGACGTCAGAGACCAGCACGCCGGGGCACCGCTGCGCCACACGCAAGAGCTCCTCGTCTGAGACGCCCAGCAGCCACTGCAGCGATCGCACGTGAGACGCCACTGATATAGACAGACACACACACACACACACACGCAGGCAGGCAGGCAGGCAGGCAGGCGCAGGGAGGTGCAGACAATGCGGATCGATCTGTCGTGTGTCGTGTGCTGTTCTGCGCCGCGCCCACCGGTGTTCTTGATGTCACAGGCGAGAAGGCGTGGCGCCTTGCTGACGAGTCGCGAGCCGTCCACGCCTGGCAGGAGGGTCTCCAGGTCACAGAGCTTCACAAAGATCCTCTTCTTGACCATCTGACACACACACGCACACACACACAAACCCGCAAGGGTCCGGTCCATGGCTGGTGGCTGTGCTTTGCTGTGCTGACCAGCAGAATGGTGGGCTGCCGCACCACCAGCTTCTTCACGTCACACAGGGGGAACAGGTGCTGCAGCTCAGCCAGACGAGGGGCGATACACCTGTGTGAACATACCGATCAGTCAATCAATGAGACACACGAGATGGATGCGCACGCACATGCAGGTCTGTCTGTCTGTCTGCGTGTGTGCCTACGTGGCTGGGTCGAAGCACAGAAGGGCCGGCAGGCGCTTGACGACCTGCGTCGCATCGGCCTCGCCGAACATCTCAGCCAAAGCCCTGAACCGCCCCGTCAGGGTGCCCTTGACGTCATACGCCAGCACATTCGGAAACTGCACACACACACACACATCTCCAGTCCAATGCAAGTGCGTGCACTCGGCTCTCTCCTCCTTCGTTTGTGCCAGGCCAGTCCAGGCCCGCCCACCTTGCTGACGACTTTGCCGACATCTGTGTTTGCGGGCAGGAACGCCCTCATTGCTTGGATCTTCTCGGGCAGGGTGGTCTCGACGTCGCGGCAGAGCAGGAAGGGCGCGTCCATGACCAGCTTCTGCGTGTCGATAGTCGGCAGCATCGACCTTAGGTACCTCAGCTTCATCGGGATTGAGGACTCGAAGTCCTGGGTCAGCAGGGAGGGGCACTGCGAGAACACATGCGTGGCATTGGCGCCGGGAAGCAGCTCGCGAAGACGCCGAATCTTGGGCTGCATCGCATCGACCGGACACACACAACAGAACAAAACAGAACAGAACAGCAGATGAATGGCCACCTTCGCCACCTTCTAATCTCACCTGCAGATTGGCCTCCGGGTGGAGCTGCAGGATGGCCGGGCACTGCAGCAGGATCTTGCGCAGGCCGGCCATATCCAGGTGCAGCAAGCTGCTGATGGCCGTGACGCGCTGCAGCAGGGTGGTCTCGTTCATGGACAGGACAGTGGGGCACCACTCGACCAGCCGGTCCACCACCCGGCTGGACAGCAGCTCCCGCATCACGGCCACCTTCCGGGCCAGCACGCTCCCCTCGTGAGCATGCACTTCCAGCAAGTGGGGCGCCCTCGTCAGGAGCGACTCGAGAGACGTTGAGGGAAACAGCCGCTGCAGATCCAGCAGCTTCTCGGTGAGGTGCTGGTGGTCCCAGCTCATGAGCTGCGGCAGCTCGGCGATGAGAGCCACGAGGTCCGGCTGCTGCAGGCCGGTGGCTGTCCTGAGCTGCGCCACTTGAGAGGCCATGTGTGGGACGTCCCGCAGCCATGGCCTGTGGACCGCCAGCTTGACCAGCTCCCGCTGGTCGTCGAGGCACTCCACTCCCATCTCATGGTGCCAGAACTCACTAGCCGCCTCCCAGTACGCCTCGTCAAAAGCCGCTGCAGAGAGGGCTGATGAGGGTGATTGTGCACGTGGTGGCCTCCGACGACTCAACTTAAGCTGCTGGCTACTGTGCCAGTGCCGCTTGTGCGTGTGCGAAAGGGGGGCTGAGAGGAAAGCGGGGCGGCCGGCGCTGCCTGGACAGATCTGCAGGTGGGAGATGGCTGAGAGCCAGATCGCGATCACATGGAGGGCCCACATCAGCAGATCCGGCTCCAGTAACGCGCTGCAGCGTGCACATAGAAGCCTGGGAAGTCAGCTTTGTCCTGTGAGCCACTCCGCCGTCCCTCGCTGCCACAGCTGCTGAATGGACGACGGGGTGACGAAGATCTAAGCAGATCTTGGCTCACCAGGGCTGCGCCCATGTCGTGAGATGCGATGGCCACAGGCGATGGCAAAACCCTACACCCTCGTGCTGAAACCCCAAACCCTCGAACCCTTGAGCTCGCCTTCACTGCGTGAATGGCGACGCTACTGCGTCATGAGCCGACGGTGGAAACACTCGAGCACAAGTATGTAACACAATGAATCAAACGAATGAAACACGCTCGAGTGTCCCCCATGGTGTGGTGCAGGTTGCTTCTGCATCGGCTGTTGGACCTTCACGCTCGAGAGGTCGTGGCCCGGCTGCTGCAGCACAATGCAGTGTTTCTGGCCATCAAGCGGCAGCTGCACGCGATGATCCACGCCGGCCAGCTGCCGCACGAGTGCCTCCAGGACCTCTTGGCACACACACGCAGCAGCGATATGGACGACGTGTTACATGGTGACGAGACGGCCGACACTATCGCACCGGCCGAGAGTGACAAGCGGCGCCGAGTGGGGCTGGAGGGCCAGGTCAGGAAGGGCGAGAGAGGTGGCTTGAATGACAGGTGCATGCCCCCACCCCACCTGTGTGTGCAGGTTGGCAGGAGGGGTAGCAGTTTGGGTCAGGCAATGCTCGTGCGGCACCAGTGCCTGGGGCTGCCCGAGGTTCGTCAGTCAGAGAGAACACACATACAAATTTCCAGAAAGAAAGCGCGTTGTTCCAAATTAGCTACAGTTGCTATACTTCTTTGTTGGTTCAGGAGCTCTTCTTCTCGTGTCTGAGCTACCTGTGTGTGCACAACCTTTCGCGAAGTGCGCGCGTCAGCAGGTCCTTCGAGCGGTGTGCGCGCCACGTGCGGGCCTACCACTCAGTGGAGCTTCATCGCATCCACTCATGGGTCGATCGGCTGTTCACGCGTGTGCCCCGTGGACAGTTCGTCAACATGGCGGCGAGATTCGCACACGTGCAAGAGGTGATGGCTTGCGATGCGAGCACTGACACAAACACGCCTCGCCTTCTTGTTCAGTTGTACGTCTCTCACGCGCCGTGCGAGCATGTGGGCATCCTGCTGTCGTCTCTGCGGCGGTGCAGGAAACTGGTGCCGGTCAACTGCCTTACTCTGGCTTCATCAGCGACGGCCCTGGCGCCCCTGGCCGGCACCTTGCGGCACCTGCGTGTGTCCTTCCGCACAGCGGGACAACACGAGGTCAGCTAGTGAGTGGGAAGGCCCTCGAGTTTAGTGGCCTCATTTCCTGGATGGCGTGTGTGTTTTGGTTCCTTTCTGGTCAGGGGGTGGCGCCGCGTGTGCTGCTGCCGCGGTTGCCTCATCTCGAGTCGCTGGAGCTGACGCATATCGGCCACTGTGCCGCATTCCCCGCTGCGGACGCCACGCCGAGGCTGAAGCGGCTCGCCCTGACCTTCGAGGTATGTGTGAGTGACACACGCATCATGTATTATGGCATGTTGTGCGAGTGTCACTGACTGACAGGAGTGGTATCCTTTGTCGGTGGATGAGCGGCGTCGGTGTGTGGCGTGGCTGGCAAGTATGACCGGCCTCCAACACGCCGCATACAGGACACACAGACAGAGGTGAGTGAATGAGGTGTGAGAAGCGCGTCCATCCATCCATCCATCCTGATGAGTGCACCTGGGTCGGGCACGCTCAGGTCTCACAGTGAGGGTGTGATGGACATTGGTCGTCTGTTTCTGGAGGCCGTGGGCGGGATGGGCCATCTGCAGGAGCTCCACCTGCCCGCAATCGACGACGCACACGTCAGGGTACGCCGCACCGCATGCACCATCACTCACTCAGCTGTCGGGGTGGCTGTGGCTGCATCTGGTCGTTCATTGATTCATTCGTGCAGCTGATTGCCCGTCGCCGGCCGCCTTTGCGTGTGCTCGAGGCTGACAGCATGCGTGTGGGCAGCTTGATGCTGCAGAGGCTCGCCCACCACACGCCACACATGGACACCTTCAAGGTCAGCAGACACATAGGAAGAGCAGATAAGACGGATGTGTGTGTTGGTGTGCGTGTGTGCGATCCGATGCGTGTGATGCAGTTGAGGGGTCGTTGGCGACTGACGCGTCACGACATTGACAGCCTGCGCGGGTGGAAACACCTAACACACATCCACATCGGGTCGGTGCACCGACACGATGGACACACACACATACAGGAGCCTGGCTGCCTGTCTGTCTGTATGATGTGTGTGTATGTTGATTGATTGATGCGATGCGATGCCTGCCTGCAGGTGGGTGGGATCCACTCCTTTGCTGACGTTGGTCGAGCTGCGGTGCTCCTTCCCACACCTGCTCTCATTCAGACGCATCGGCGGACACGGACAGACGGTGGGGGAGGGAGGGAGTGGGCAACAGAGAGGCCAACCAACACCACCAGCACCACCCACCGGGTGTGTGTCGTGTCAGGTTGAGATGAGTCGGGGTCTGCCGTCGCCCATCGACCTGCCCCACATGCAGGCCGTCACCCGTAGCCCATCAACCCCCCTCGCACACGTACATACCTGACGTTGATTGACGCACCTGAATGAATGCATCCCAGGTGAGTATTCTCATCGTGTCGTGTCGTCTGTGTGTTGGTGGGCTGGGCTGGGCCCACGTGTCTGTGTAGGAGATGCATGGTGGCCGATCGCAGACGCGGGACGGGTGGTCTCCATTGTGGCTCGACGACAGTGGCCTGCCCACGGCCATCCGACACCAACATGAGACAACTGTGTACGTCAACGTCAGAAGGTGAGAAGAGAAGCTCAGTACGGAAAGTCACTCGTCGCGAGTACTCGACCTCTCCATCCATCTCTTGTGTCACTCACTTGTGCCTTCCTGCAGGGCCGTAGAGAGCCTGGCTGACTCGAGGCGGATAGCAGAGAGCAAGACTGGGGGGTCAGTGGTGTGTGGCCAGCCAGGCTAGGGCGCCTCTGTTTGTTTGTACCATATAGATAATGTCTGTCTCTCTGTGTGAGCATCGGTTGATTTGATCCATTCAATCAGCTGGCCGGCTGTGTGTGCAGGCACGGCTGCTGTAGAGATGGATGGATGGATGGACGATATTAGAGCCTCCCTGCCTCCCTCCCCTTGCAGGGCGGGGGGCGTTTGTGTGCGGCCCTAGCTACTTTCTGGACTCTTCTCCCTCCCTCACTCCCTTCACCGCCACCATGGAATGCAGTCGATGGCATGGACGAATGGTCGTGTTTGTGTATAGCTCGGTGCCTGTTGGGAGTGTGGGCGTGTACATCGACAGGGGGATGTAGACGGATGGATGGATGGATGGACCTGCAGAATTCGTAACACATGCGTTAACACACACCCGCAAGCTGGCATGCAGACAGTTTGTCAGTCCATTCGAGACGCCCCCTCGCCCACCCCAGCGCCCATGCATTGATACAGAACGAGACCACAGGCAGACAGGCAGCCATAACATCACATCATGCATCCGTCCACCATCTGTTGGCCTCGCACATCACATGCACCCGGCTGCCGGCCATCTGCTGCTATGGCCAGGCAGACAGAGAGACAGAGAGACAGGCAGACAGGCAGGCAGGCAGGCCATCTACTCCCACAATCACACACTAAATAGCTAGTAGGTACCATTCTATACTATACCCCATTTGCTAGTCTTGGCGGAAGGGCACCGGTAGGTACAGTCGAGAGTTGAGGGATGAATGAATCAGTAGATAGACTACGGCTACGCCAGCAGGCCGCCGAACACCCCCTGGTCGTCCGCCCCCACCACCTGACGCACCACCTGGACGGCCTGTGGGAATCGGGCCGCACCCTCCTCGCCCGCCACGGGACGCTCCGTCGTGTAGAGGTAGACCCAGGCATAGTGGGGGCAGCTGAAGGTGTGGAGATGTGCCTCGAATGAGTGGTCGGGCTGGTCGCCATGGAGCACTATCGTGCGCTCAAAGTATCCCGGGTCGCCGCGGCGCGAGCTGATGGTGTGGCGGTTCCACACGGGGGGCTGCTGAGTGGCGAGCGGCCGCTGCAGAGAAAGGGACAGAGAGAAACATGGGTGAGTGGGGCAGCTGGTGAGGGAGGACCTCATGAGTTTGTACTTATGTGCCTGACCAGTCGGTTGCAGCTTGTGGGATCCTCGTGCTGGAATACATACTGGCTCGTGACCTGCGACCCTCCGAAATGCATGCTGATCAGACAATGACAGACATGTCGGAGACCGACCGGCACACCCATACATACATATCGTGAGCGTGCGTGTGTATCATTCTAGTCATCTTCCTCACTCATCGAGCACATCGAGTGGTACCGATGTGGTGGGCGATGAGCGAGAGCTGCCGGAGTGCCTCGCACCTCCCGTCGAATACGGCCCGGCTGCCCACCCCCTGCACATCACCACTGCCCAACTCTATCGGCAACCGCCCCTCCACCCGCCCCTGATGCTTGGCCACTCTCACAATGCGCACCATCGCCGCCCACTCGCCGCTCTTCTCGATGATGTACACCAGCCGCTGGAGGAGGCCGATGGATGTCAGGTTAGGGGAGATGGTGATGATGCCGTTAAGGCCCTTGGCGACGAGCAGGCCGTCGATCTCCTGCCTCAGGTATATGTCCGCGTGCTGGCGGCTGAGGCGGCTAATGGTGGGGTCCCCGCTGAGCATGGGGCAGAGAATGTCCTTCTCGACATCCTGGGGCACGTCCAACAGGCCAGTGTGCTGGCCGTCAGGCTGATCCCGCGCCCTATCGACTGATGTGAAGCTGTTATACACCTGCACACATCACAACACATACACGCATCGGATGGAGCCTCCGGCCACCCGACCAATTGACATGTGTTGAGGCGTACGCACCTCTTGGCTATGCGATGGCGTCTTGGCCCTGTGAGGCACGATGACGGGCTTGAAGACCTCCCCCCTCCCCCCAGCCTCCTTGACATACACTGCCGTGCAGTGCTGCCCCCTGGGCTCGATACGGTAGACACGCGCCGTCACCCATTCCTGCTTGCCCTTGTCCCGCTCGGCCGTTACCATCCACACACGAGTGCCGACCTCATACCGGAGCGTTCGGTTGGATCTGGCCGTGCGATTAACGAAACGACCGAACCAGTCAGCCGCTGCAGCTGCGGCCGCCATTGCTCGGTCAGCAGCAAGCACACCTGCAAGCACACCTGCAAACAACAGAGCAGACACATTTAGCTGTGCTCGGCTCCCTCACTGCTCAATACTCATGCTCATCCACCCTTCTCATTTCCATGCTCACCGGCAGCCATCGCTGCGCCAATTGCCACGTCAGCCACGAACGCCAGACCAAAAGCAGCTGACGTCGTGCTCATGGCCCCGGGGCTGTGAATTTATGAGAACGAGAACAGATCTATGTGTTTGTGCAGCCTCCAGTCACGTGTGGCTGCGGCACGCCTGCGGGGGCGGTTTCTCTTCCCCCTCTCTCCCTCCTCCGCCGCTTGCGAGCTGGAGGCCGAGCTCTCGCGGGAATCGATGGGAGAACATGAAGCACTAAGAGCGCAGGTGCCTACGATGACAGAAACGGACACATCCGCCAACCAATGGGCGAATCATCTCTCTCCGTTCGTTCATTCATTCAGGTGCTCACAAACGGCGAATTGATCTGACTTCTCCCCTCTCCCGTATGTTGAGCAAAGAGTGTGCGTCTGCTGGCCCATTCAGTTCCAATCTCCACTGTGTGTCGACAGGTGAAAGGTTCGTCTAGTGATCCGCTTGTGCGCTGCCATCTTGCTGACGACGCCCGTCGCAGACTGCGGAATGGCTCCTTCTGGTCTTTCCGGCGTCTTGTGGTTCGTTTTGATGGTCGCGCGCATCCGATGCCTTCGTTAGAGTGCCAAGCCAGAAGCCCATGACGGCTGTGGGCATGCGCCGCGATGTGTGGAAGGCTGGCAGCAGCCAACGCCATCAGGTACACTGGCTGGCTGGATGGGCGGACTACGTATGGTCGCGTGTCCCGCGTGTGTTTCAGCTGCTGCATCCCTCTAGATGGTCCTGTCTGTGGCTCGAGCCGCCCTCCGCGAGTCGAAAGACAGCTCATGGAATCAGGTACGAACCAGGTACGAACACGGCGTATGACGGCATGCACAATGAATGCACATGCAAACCTTTGTGCGTGCCTCAACGCACAGACACACAATCCTTTTCAGCGCCTCGCAGAGTGTGTCGTCGAAAAAAGCACCTGCAAAGAAAGGTAACATGCGAACAGAGAGGAAGGCCGAGGGATGCACTCTCTCGTGTGTGCGTATGCGTATGGTGTGCATCTGTGTCCACAGGGCGACAAACCTTTGTCAAGCTCAACGTGAAGGACCTTATGGAGCTAAAAGAAGTGCCGCTGCCCGAGCTTACCAGAGATGACCCCGACACATTTATCGGCGAATCCTTTCTCAACAAGGCGATCCAGCTGCTGATGCCAGAGTACCATCAGCCCCACGACACCGGGGGCAAGCGCATCCGGCCGATGTCACTCACGCGCTATTCAAGAGGCGGTAAGACGAGGATGATGCTTGAGCTGGGCTACCGGTGAGGGGGGCCTCTGAAGGGAGACAGAGAGAGAGAGAGAGAGACAAAGGCCGACAGCTGACATCGCGGCATCTATCTCTCTCTGTGTGTGTGTGTGCGCGTTTGCAGGCTGCACAAGGACGGCGTGCCGGTGATTTACATCTCGTTCGCTGACGAGACGCCGTACCAGGGAGAAACAATAAGAAGAGCCCTTGCATCCGTCCTCTTGAGGATAGCGTGGGCGGCCGCGACTGATGAGGCGAAAGCAAGAGTGGCACGGGCAGCAAAGCTGGACGACGTCAACAGGCTGACGTTTGGCATTTGGTTCAAGCATACGAGAGTCGACAGATCGACAATCGATGAGTGGCTGGGGTGCCAACCTTGCGTCCTGCTCATCGACGAGCTCAACCGCTTCATGACTCGACAGAAACCGCGCAGCAAGGGGGAGTCCGACGTCGCGGGCTATCTCAAGACCACATTCCTCACCAAAGAGCAGCGATACTTCGTTTTCAGCAGTCATGTCACCAGCCTCAGCTATGAGCTGCCCACCTTCCTCGAGTCTCTCAGCAAGCGAACGGTCATTCGGTCACAGCTGCCTCTCATCGAAATGGACGACTTAGCTCGTGTCAGCTCTCTGTGTGGTGCGAGTCCTTCGCGGATTTGTTGGGCGGGGAGGTCGCCTGCATTGCTCTGGATCTGCTCTCGTTATGGGATGGATTATTACATGTACATCCCCGAGGTGGAGGTCGCCTTGGGCCGCTCTCTCTCTCCATCAGCAGCGCTCAATGTGTTGGTGTCCATCATCAAGACAGCGATCGACGGGAGGCGACCTGAAGACATCGGCACGTGGGAGGCGCTACTGGATGTCTTCGAGCCCGGTCCACAGCCACACGAGTCCACGGAGGGACGCGCCGATCAACAGCCAAGCCAGCAGCAGCAACAGCAGGAACAGCAGCAACAGCAGCAACAGCAGCAACAGCAGCAGCAGCAGCAACCAGACGACAAGAAGCTCGGCGAGTCGATCTATGAAGAAAGAGTGGAGCATGTGTGGCCGCCCTGTTACCTTGCTGGTGTGCTCACGGAGCTGACGCTTCCGGATTCTCCCCTTCTGGAAGCAGTGGGCCAGCCTTTCTTTGAGGGCCTCCAAGGGATTAGCGCGGGCTTGACGATGCTCAATATTGCCGAGAGAAGGTCTGGCAAAGAATGGGAGGGGCCATGTCGCGCAGCGATCCTTCTGAGAATGCTGCAAAGCGCCCTACGCAGCAGGAGTGAGAAGCTCGACATCCCAGAGATTCCACGCAAGCTGTACAAGCTGCTGCCGCCTGCTATTATCGCCGGATGCCAATTTGGGGGAGTTGTCCAAGACAATCAATGGCAGACCACTGCCGATGTTGTCAACTCGTTTTACCTCCCCATCGACCAGGACGGATGGTTCTCAAAGCGATTCTCTGAGTTTCCTCAACTACAGAAGGGCCCCACTGCGTGCCTTGTGAACCCCAACTCATCGACCTTCGAGAATCACGACTTCTATATACTTGTGGCACACGACGGCAAGCTGAGTGAGGTGTGGGGCTATCAGTTGGAGCTTGTGACGCAGCAGCCACCAGGGACGCAACAAGAAACATCCAGAAGTTTTTCGCCTACCAGCACTCCTCGGCTGCCCGTGAAGATGACGAGTGTGTATCTGCAAGGGGGCCAGCCTGAGGTGGAGGGCAAGGAGACTTATCTGAAGAGTCAGAATTTAGACCAGGAAGTCAATCCGTGCATTGTTGCCTCCGGGGCTGAGCAGGAGCTGCTTTTTGGGACGTTACTTAAGTGGATGTGTCCCTTGAGTTGGGTGGAACCAGTGAGAGAGCGCCGCGCCCGAGACAGACAATAAATGATTGTGCAGCCTGATCTGACCGCGCCCGTATGAATGCATGCATCTTAAGAGAATGAGGGGCAAAGTGCCAAAACACGACGCCAAGCGGTGTGGCAGATACCATCATAAAACACTCACATCCATTTCTCGCAGAAGATCGAATCCATTGGGGCCGACCAGATTTCTTGACTGTCACGCGAGCAGCTTATAATACGTACACAGACAAGACAGCCCCTCCCTCCCTGTCCGCTCCATCCATCCGTGCCTATCGGTCCATTGCCATCCATCTAGACCTAGATGACCCGGCCAGCAGGGGCGATGGGTACGCCATGGGCTGTCTCTGACTGGCCCTCTCACTGCCCGCACCACCAGCTGTGGTGGTGCCGTAGGGGTGCAGGATGGTGGGCTGGAGGCACGCCACCAGCAGCCACACGCTGTACAGCCTCCCAGGATACGCAAACACCCGCACGGCGAGGGCAAAGGGCGTCGACTCGTCGCCGGAGTCCAACACCTACACGCAGACACACATGGACGGATGCGCACACACATGGACGGGTACACTTCACGGACCTTGGTGTTGAGTATTCGGTCCCATAGGTCGGTGAAGTCGGTGTAGGTGGTGTGGATGGGCATCCCCGTGATGGCCCTCATCCCTCCCAGCCGGTCCAGCGCCCCGTACAGCTCGCCCTCAAGGACCGCCTGGCTCGCAACCCCACCACTGTCACCCGGCGGAAGCAGCGGCTGTGGCTGCTGCTGTGGCTGCTGTGGTGGTTGCTGTTGGGTGAGAGTGACGGTGGAGTGCCGTCTCATCTCGGCTGCCTTGGTGCAGCGGTGGCGCTCAAATGTGTCGAGCAGGTCGTAGAAGAGGCGGCCTGCCTCACGGTTGAAGACGATGGCCATCGGGGGGAGACCGTACCTACACACACATACACATACACACACACACACACACACAGAGAGAGAGAGAGGGATACAGATGTATCGGTCTCGCTGTCAGTCAGTCTTACTCGCCGGACGTCCGGTAGTCCTTCATCTTGGCCTCAATCCGCGTCTGCAGCTTCCTCTCCAGCATGCGGGCATACCCCTCATCGCCACCACTACCAGCACCACCACCACCAGCCCCGGCCCCATAGCTGATCGGCTCCACACACAGCGGCTCCACCACCCCTCTGGGCGGGAAGAACCGACGCCTGTCCCGCTCCCCCGGGGTGATGTCCTTCTTGTCCACAGCAAACAGCGGCCGCCACTTGGAGGCGTTGGACAGATCCATGTCCAGCTCGTACACTGACGAGGCCGCCTGGCTTGTGGGGCTGTTCTGTGTGGGCGGGGAGGGCTGCTGCGCGTTGAACCAGACGTTTGTGTGGTTGAAGACGACGTCGACGGACTGCAGGGGACACTTGGGGAGGGAAGCGGGCATCGCGGGGGCGGCCGTGGCGGGGTAGTGGGAAGGGGTGCTGGGGGGGAGTGTCATGGTGGTGCCGGAAGGCTTCTTCAGGAACCCCTGACACCACACACACACACACGCGCAGAAAAAGAGAGAGAGAGAGAGAGAGAGTGGCGAGCATTATGTGTGTGACCAGCGCACCCCCAGTGCACCCACCTGTACCTTTCCGTGTGGGTGTTTGCGTGTCCTGTACGGCGGGATGAAGTAGCACGCCCCAGACGCAGGCTGCCACAGCTCACACGCACCGTCATCACCCTGCCACCAACACACACACACGATGAACAAACAAATCCATCCATCAGACGCCCGCCCCTGTACCCAGCCCTCCCACCTGTCTCATGACGTAGGCGACGTTCCCCTGCGGCAGCGCTTGCCCCAGCACCACATAGGACTGGATGGGGCATGGTGGCTGGGCGCCCTGCTGGGTGGTGGTGATGGTGGTGCGTTTGTCGTGCACGTGTGTGTCGATCTTGTTGAACAAGTTGCACAGGAGGATGGCGTGCTCCTCCCAGTCGCTGCAGCCGAGGTCGATGAACTCCTGCGGGCTCAGCCACAGGTCGGTCGACCCCAGAAACACCTGACACACCACCACACACACACACACACACGTTGTGCTTTGTGGAATACAGGGAGTGACTGCGCACTTGGTAGTCTTCTAGGAAAGGGATGAGCGCCACGTACGCCGCGGCCTTCTCGATGGCGAGTGGGTCGTCGAGTGAGGTCACATCCGGTGGTGGGCTGAGTGGGTGGACGTAGCGGCACACCAGCACGCTGTGGCCATGCATGTCGGTGCCCAGCGCCTTGGCCACCCGCGAGAAGGGCGAAGCCACCGGGGCCTTGACCAAACCAGCACACGTGCGCATCCACCTGTCCCCCGACGCAACCCACCACACACACACACACAATGAGATGCATTCCCCCACCTCTCTCTCTCTCTCTCTCGCTTTCTCTCTCTCTCTCTCTCTGTATCTCATGCTCATACCGGCTGACATGAGCCAGCAGAGCCTTAGTCTCCTTGCCGGGGTAGATATCGGCCTCCTCCCGCTTCGTGGCGGGCAGGAGTGGGTCGACGGACACCACGAGAGACAGGAATGTGGGCAGTGGGTGCGCAGCGACGGGGTGCCGTGGCGGATGGGGGGTGGGCCTCATCATCTGCTGATGGGGCAGCATCGGCTGCCCGGCCGCCAGCGGCACTTGAGAAGGACTGCTCGGGTAGCAGAACTCATAGCCTGACGATCCGATCCACAGCCGCATTGTGGCCTGTGTGATGTGTGTGGTGCGTGGTCTATGTGGGATGGTGGTGTAGGTAGGTGTGCCTACCGATGAGGCATGTGGGTCGGTCGATTGGGAACCTGCCCTCGATGCGCGGGGGGGAGTGGTAGAGGGTGCTCCACGGCAGCGCAAAGGTGCCCAGGTAACGTAGCTCCGTGTCGACCACAGACCGGCGAGTGTTGCGCTCGTCAGCCGCACTGAAAGAGTGCGGGTGGAGTGACGCGACACACACACACACACGCACATCCATCCGTCCATCCATCCATCCGTCCGTCCGTCGTACCGACCTCATTGTGACGACTTGGTCGTATACGTTGAAGTACACCTTGCCCTCAAAGCTCGCCAGCTGCTCGACAGTCTTGTCCACCCCCCCAATCAAAGGCAGCGTCAGCAGCTGGTTGACGTCGGCGTCACTCTCGGCCATCCAGCCCTCCCCCCTGCCGACGTCCACCCCGTCGCTGCGCACCCACACCTCCTGGCCGTCCATGTTGGCCATGCGCACCTCCACCACCACACAGCACGACAGCTGTGGGCCCTCCATTATCGGGGAGAGGCCACCTGGGGCACCTGGGTACTGCACGCTGATGCCACCTGCACACACCACACACAGACACAGACACAGACACACAGATGGGAGTGCATTGTGTGTGTGTGGGTATGGGAGGGGACAGGGGGCGACCGTATGGCGTGGTTGGTCCCAGGCCGCCTTGTTGAGAGAGGAAGAGTGACCTCGTGGGGGTGGTGGGTGCGTGCGTCAGCACGCCAGAGTACGAACGCTCAAAAGGAGGGGCGAATGCACCTAACATGACATGACCCGCACACACACAAAGACTGACTGACACATTAATGGGACAGGCACCCACCCCCGCAGTGCACATACCGATCCTGTCCCTGCTCATGGACGGCTGGGGCTCATAGAAACCACCACCACCACCACTGCCAAAGCCACCAAGCATCCTACCTTCTCCACTCGGCCGCGCCCCTCCCCCCCCTCTCCCGCCGACCTCCCAATCACGCCGCCTCTTCGGCAGATTGGCCACCTTCACCAGCTGCACAAACAGAGTCGCATCCCGGGCCGATGGCACCGCCCTCCTCGATTCGAAATGCGGCCGCAGCGGCCTCGCCGGCTCCAGGGCGCGCTTGACGAGGTGGAGGAATGAAGGGCCCTCTCCGCCGCCGCCCGGGCCGAAGCCGTATTCGCTGATGACGCTGCTGTACTGGAGGCGAGAAGTGCGGAAGACGGCGAGCTTCTTGCGGGTGCGCTGCCTGATGCGTTGGATGAACGAGGCCAGATCGGGCTGCTCTGGGGTCTGCTGCTGCTGTTGGGCATGGGCGTGGTCGGGGGAGGGCGAGAGGGGGTGGGAGGGGAAGAGGGAGGCCGCGGTGGACAGGTCGTCCTCCTTGTGAACCTGTCGGTCGGTGGATCGACCGATGGATGAGTCGCACACACAGTGAGAGAAGAAAGAGAGAGACAGAGTTAGAGTAAGAGGGAGAACCTCCCACCCACTCTCTGCGTGCGTGCGCACCTCTATCTCTCTCTCGAAGGAGGGAACGGCCAGAAATCCCTCCTCATTGGTCTCCGCCCTCTCCCGCAGCCGGGCAATCCGCCGGTTGTCCATCAGGGGACCCACCTCCCTGCTCACGCCCTCACCCCCACCAGCACCACCACCACCACCGCCAACCTTGCTCTCACTCACACTCTGTGTGTGCAGGTCGATCAACGGCGGGTCGCACAGGCTGCAGAGGAGCTCCTGCCGGTAGTCGGTGGCTGCTTGGCGTCGGTGTGTGGGTGGCTTGGTGGTGCGGATGGTGGTGGGGGTCAGGGGGGGCTGGATGGCCAAGGGTGCGGCGGGTGGGTGTGGGGCGGTGAGGGCGTTGTCGGGGTCGTGGGGGTCGAACTTGAACGAGGAGAGGACGCTGTCGAGCGCGGGGGGCTTCCCTGCACACAGAAATGGACAGATGGACAGATGGCAGGAAACGGCCGGCCTTTTTCTGTGCCGACTCACTTGCGTGAAGTCGCTTGTGCATCTCCCTGGCCATTTCTGGCGGCAGCTGCGCCACCCCCACCCCGCCGTCAGCCCTCCCCCGCCCCCTGCCGGCGTGCCACTCAATGCGCACGTCGACCGTCCCGCTGTCATGACGAGCGCCCGGCACAACACTCGTGGATGACGGCAATGCGCCTGCCTGCAGTGGGGAAGAGGCGGAGGCCGAGGCGGGCTGTTGCTGTGGCTTGGGTGAGGTGAACTGCAGGTGTCTTCGGATGGCTGTGGGGTGTGTGACGGAGGGCTCCAGGACGTTGGGGATGTCCACGAAGGTCTCGCCGATCTTCTTGAAGGGCTGCGCCAGGAAGGACTTGGTGCCCAGATACACCTACCATCCATCCATCCATCCATCCACACACACACAGACAAGCACACACACACGCATCCATCCATGGCGGCCTCTGACCGACCTACCTGCAGCTTGACGGCCTTGGGCATGGTGTGCAGCAGCTGCACAAACTGATGCAGCACCGGCGCCCTCAGCCCCTCCCCGCCCTCCAAGCCACCACCACCACTGCTTCCCATAGCCATTCTCTCTCCCCCCCTCCCCCTAGCAGTCATATTATCTCTGGGCGTGTCACGCGAGCGGCTGGTGCTGCTGCCGAGTCTTGGTGAGACGATGGGCGTTGGCGGCCGCATGAGGCGCTCGCGGACAGTGGATGGGTGTGAGAGGCCGGGGGAGGTGGAGAAAGACGGGAACTGCAGGGCGTGTTTGCTCGTGCAGCCGACGTCCTTGGCGTTGACGAAACACCGCACGGACACCTGGCTCACACACAAAATGTGTGTTGTGTGAGTGGGCGAATGTATGGATGGATGGGGGATGGGTCGGTGGGGCGACCCACCTGCAATTCGGCGATCTTCTGACGCCTGGTGCGCTCTTCGGGCGGTAGAGGCTTGCCGTCGCTGGTCTGCCGGCTGACACCTTGCGACAGGTCCAGCGTGAAAACGTATGTGGGCGCACCGGGCGGCCGACGATTCCGCTCCACCCGAGACACGATCGAAGACCTGAGGCACACGCCCAAGGATGGTGGATGGATGGATGGATGGGTGTGTGTGTGCGCTGCCCACCGGTGTGCGGCTGAGTCGAATGGCTGGTCGTTGCCGTAGGTGTCGATGTGTTCCTGGTAGGCCTCTTGCAGCTCCGCCTCTATCTCACTGTCCATCTGCCGCTTCTCCATCTCTGCGTCGTGCGGCACACGGTAGGCCGTCAGCAGCGCGGGGGTGCTGCTGTAACCCTGATTGATTATCGGTGAGAGCAAAGCAAGATCTCACAGAGTGTGTGTGTGTGTGGGGGGGGGGGG